CGGCAGGCGATGCTCAAAATCGGTTTCCAACGCCAGTGCTTCAACCGGAGTGAATACCACTCGACGCCCCTGAAAACACTGGTATATTCCACAACTCAACACTTGCTTTGACACCTAGTTCAACCATCCGTTCCAGGGATATAGCTGACAAAGTCTGACTTGATATTTCAGTATGACGTTGCAACCTGAGCCTCCGATAAAACGCGTAAAGGGTGACAATTATGTGACTCAAGTTAGTTTTCTATGCGTGCTTATGTTAAATAGCTAATTCTCTTTTTCTCAAAACTTCCCTCCTCCCTTCATCACTCCAGCTTCCACCCCTATTCTATCCTATCCTCCTTCTCTCTTGTGCTTTTCCTCTTACTACGCATTCATGTTATCAAAATTTCCAAACGGTGGATTGGGGGCTGCACTGATGGTTCCCACCCCAATCCACACGCATACTGTCTGTGTTTGTAGCTTAGGGATAAAACACAGACAGCCAGGTTCACATTTAGCTTCCCTACATGTCCTCCTTACATCTTCTTAACTTTTAATTATAAACATATGCGTTTTACTATCTATTTCATTTTTTCATTTCGTGGTCTTACGAAAATTTATTCTTTTTCACTGCTGTTACAATCTAAAACTGTATCATCTAGTAGTAAATTTGTTGAATTTCCTAAAAACCGTCTTTTTGCTTTCTTTGTTCGCCCATTAGTCTCATCAAATTTTCATCATATCGATGTTCAACACCAATACACCGTCCAGCATTTGACCAAAAATGACTTTGGCCAGTAGACTTACTCTCAATCCCAGCAACGTAGCGCTATCATTGGAAACCGCATTTGGGACACCGGATGTCGGATCGACATATTGCTTTGCTTGCGCCAGGATATACTCCAGCGCCCGGGCTGCCAGTTTTGTGCCCATATTGCGATCAAACGGTGTTGGATTACCGCCTTGTTGCGCATGTCCAAGTACATTGATCCTGTAATCCAGTATATCAGAGATGCCGATCAATCTGTACTATAAAAACCGAAATTCTCCTAGGATGGTTCGATAACAGCAAAAGGATGGTTCGATATCGGTTCGATATCTCCGCTATTGGTGGTGAAGAAGCAGCTCGTTTGGTCGTGGACATCATCCGTCGAGTCGGGAAAATCGGCAACTGGGCCTATTTGGAGCTCTGCCTCGTTCCAGCTGGGTTCAGCTTACATAAAACGATAAACATAACAGTGCCGCGGATTGACAGCGGTACGATTATTACAAAGAAAATTACGGGATTGTGAAGCAAAAAGTTTATGCCAATTCTCATCTGTTTTCTTTATTTGTTCGTCTTTTCCATTCGGGCCCAATTCCCTCGACAAGAACTACACCGATGGGAATGGGTCGAAGATGCGTCAACTACTGACGTCGGATGATGCGCCGTTTTAGGACTAAAAATTCGACGGACCTTGTCGAGAAAGCTCCTTTTCCTTCTTCGGCGAAAAGTTGGTTCACGAAT